ACTCTTTGGTTTGCAAAGTTCAACTCTGACATGAATGAAACAATCCCAACAATCTGCACGCGCACGCACACACACACACACACACACACACACACACACACACACACACACACACACACACACACACACACACACACACACACGTTAGTAGCCTGGTGTATGTGACGAACTTCTAAAATCTTTTAGGTCAAATCTTTGAGCCGTTCACAAGGATTCTGATCGAAAAGGCTTTCTATGGTGAAAACTGGGAAACTCAAAGAATTCAGATATTTGTGCATCGAGGACTCGAAAACAATAATGAACTAAACTTTTTTTCCAGCAAAGTGAAAGTTCTCCTAACAAATAATTCTAAATTCAGTCTTGAATCACATTCTGTTAATGTACATTCATCTGTATGTGTAAATATCTGCTAATGTAAAGCACCTTTATTAAAGGAGACATGTTCTGCTTCACTCACAAGCATCATATTTCTCCTTTCAGTTTTTGTCAGTTTGCAGCTCAGGTCTGACATGAGATCAGTTCTGAATCAGGCCGAGTCGCAGCTCTGAGTCGCAGCTCTGAGTCGCAGCTCTGCTCTCGTCCCGTAGATCTCTGCGTTCTGTGGAAGGTTTGAGGCAAAGTGTGGCAGCTGTTCTGTCGGTGGGACATTCAGAGAGAGGATGTGTGTGACACTCAAACAGATGTCGGAACATCTGCTGCACTCACTCGAAGCTGAAGTATCAAAGTCAAAGTGCTTCGAGAGGTGTAAAAATATATGTGTAAACAAATCACATCCTCGGTTAAACCCCCCTCTCCTCCTCCTCCTCCACCTCCCATTCTCTATCCTCTTCTTCCTCGTCGTCTTCCTCATCACTGTCATCCTCCTCCTCCTCTTCCTCCGCTGGACTGTAAAGATCATCTGCCAGCTCCCTCCGGTTGGGTCCTTCCTCGTCGTCGTCCTCGTCCTCGTCTTCCTCCACCTCGCCCTCGCTCCGCATGTCTTCCTCGCTGCTGTCATTGAGGTCGTCGTCATCATCTTCCTCCTCTGCCGCCTCTTCCTCATTCTCCTCCTGCTCTTCCTCCTCCTCGAGATCTGTAAGATGACCTGATGAGTGGACAAATATTTTTTAGATTCCCTGAAACTTTTATTATCTTGTCCTGTAATCTGAAACTTTACAACTGCACAAATTATCAGATTATATACACAACACATTAAAATACAACGTGTCGCTCGCAGCGGGAACACAGCTCATGCAGCTGACAGGACTTTGGACAAAGTTATGATATTTGAAGATGACTGGATGAGAGAAAATGACGTACACAAGGAGTTTAAGGCAGAAACAACGCTACACTGGAGCTCCTCATCCAGGAACTTCCTCATTTCTTCTTCCATCATTGCTACGAGAACCTCCGTCTCCATGTCAACGTATTCTGGGTAGAACAAGTTTCTTCTCAGCTGCCTACGACACCTGAAACACACACACACACACACAAAATGGCGGTCAATGGCCATTGAGTCTGGATGCCAGCAGAGTCAGAGAACAGCAAATTATAGAATCTGACAAAGACGATGGTTCTCAGATCAACTCCTCAACTTCCCGCACACACAACATACAGCAGCAGTACTTACTGTTTCCCCGTGGTCTTGTACGCCTGAAATACAAACAAACAGATGTTTGGACACAAATCACACAACTGTCATAATAAGCAACTGGAGTAATAATAGTAGTATATAGTTAAGATGCTTTTATTGCTGCTGCTGTATTTATTTATGTGTTTACTGTAAGTGTAGTTAGAGCTGAAGACGTGTTACACGAGAATCTACGAAAAGTGGAAAAACAAAAGGCTGATCTCCGTTCACTCACCTCGATGAAGCGGAAAGGATCATTTTCCTGCATGAGACTTTCGAGGCCACAGCGAGCCTCCTGGAGACGGGCTTGGTCCTGCGAGATCCTGGAGATGTTCTTCTGGATGGCCAGCCCGTTGGTGTCGCACTGAGTGCGCGTGCAGTCCCGCAGTCTGCCGACGAAGCCGAGCACTTTGGCCTTCATCTCCTCGCTGAGTCTGTTCAGGCACTGCTCAGAGTCGTCCATGAACTTCTGGATGAGCAGGAGAAGAGAAAGAACACTGCGTGAAAAATATTCTGCAGTCGTATATTATTATATATGATTCCATTATTACTTTTTAAGGGAAGTGATTTCTATGAGTGTGATGAATTTGGTCGAGCTTGACTGGAGTTAGTGCGACTGTTGAGCCTCTCGCTCGACTGAGCGTCTTTCTTATTGTATCGTGATCAAAACATGTATTAAATACTATCGAGGATCCTTTTAAAAACCAAAACACTAACTTCATACATCAGCTTCACAGATTCCAAGTCACACGTGTTTGAAGACATTTTGCTTTTCAACGTCTTTAACTTCTCAATGCTGCTGTCCATGGTGCTGAAACTGTTTTAACTTTGTGAGTAAGAAAAACACAAATCCAAAATAATACAACTCACTGCTAGCCCGTTAGCAGTGTGTACTGGCTGCTCCTACGCTGCTACTTCATGACATTATCAACATTTTGTTGTTGTTTGAATATGTTTGAATTACCTTGTTCTGTCTCTCCTTCTCCCTCTGCTCCTGCAGTTTCTTCTCTGCCATGCTGTACTTCCTTTCAACCCGGTACAGCTGCTTATCCAGTGAGCCCTGGTGACAGAGAAAACATCATGAAGATCAGTGAGGATGTTGAAAGTGTGATTAATTACTAACTCACCGTTTTTTAATTCAGCCGCAAAATTACTAGAACGTTTCCAAAAAATATTTCCAGAAAGATGATAGATGGAGAAAGTGTTTATTGTTACGTCACTGTGAATACATTCATACAAATATATATATATATATATGTATATACCGTACGTTTTTCTTGAAAATATACTTTAAAACCATAAACATTACCGATTAATTTAAAAGTCATCAGTCAAGTTCCAGAAACATTTGAGGGGAACGGTTCACTATGTGGACAAACACTAACTTAGAATCATCCAACGTGAATTTAAAGATAATCTAAAACTTTTTGAGACTTTTGTTCGTTAACCTGAATTCTGGACTTTTGAAGGACACTGGTTTATTGAGTGATTCTGAACAACAAGTGGAATTCAACCAGTTCTAAAGAACAAAGTGGAACCCTCTCACAGGAAGTGGGTTTAACTGTGCTGGAGAAAGAGGCCAGAGTCATGTGACTCCTCCATTCATGTCACTCACACACACACACACACACACACACACACACACTACAATGAACAACAATATTCATTCATTCATTCCAGATTCATCACAGGACTTTGTGTGAGCCAAACAATGAAGTGAGAGTGAATGGATAACGGTGCAAAACCCTGAGCTCCAACACGTTCGGTTCATCATCTTGACTTTTAAACACAAATATGAATAAACCAGGATGTGGATCGAAAACTGAAACCCGGCTGAATTCTTTGTAGACTTGTGTGTATTTGTTATCTCACTACACAGAGTGTGTATGTAGGAACCGTGAAGGTACTTGTACCTTGAGATCTTTCATCGTGTTCTTCAGGGTCTTCATTGTGTGTCCCGAGTGTTCTCCTTCTATGGTGCAGGCGTTACACACACACACCTTGTCGTCCATGCAGTAGTATCTGGACGTGACACGAGCACAGAGCAGCTTTCATTTAAGAAGTGGACACAGATCAACAGAAACCACCACTGGAACTATTATCGTGTTGCTGTTTCCAGATTTAACGATAAGACAGAGACACAGAGTGATAACATACGAGGGTCCGCCCCTCCTACCTGTAGATTTCATCGTGCGCGGGACACTTCCTCTTCCAGAAGTCAAATATGGGTTCTGTCAGCGGATGCTCGCAGAACGCCGGTAGTTCCAGATGTGGCTTGACGTGCTCCTGGCACATGGACACCTCACATTTCAGGCACGTCTTGACCGCAAACATCGACACGGCGGCGGCGGCGGCGGCGGCGGCGGCTCCATCACCTTCATGAGAAACAGAAGCAGCAGAAGAGTGGTCGCCCTCGCCGCTGACGCCTGGCGCCTCGGCTGCGACTGAGGGGCAGTAGTCACACGGAACTACGCACACGCTCCGAGAGGACGACAGCAACCCTCTGGATTTCAAACCTGTGGCAGCTTCAGTGGTGGCTCTGCGCCTGTGGCGGAAGTCGTCGGCGATATTGGCTAGTTTGAAATTCTTCTGGAAGTTGGTGCCGCAGCGGTGGCTGTCGCGGCACTCGGGGCAGCGGAGGCGACCTCGCTCTGCCTGCCGCTTGAGGTGATCGAGGCAGATCTTGCAGAAGTTGTGGCCGCACGGAAGCAGGAAGGGGTCGCGGTACAGGTCCAGACACACCGGGCAGGTGAGCTCCTCCTGCAGGACGCTGGACTCTAACTTGGCCGACGCCATGGGAAGAGGAGGAGGTGCTGGAGATAAGATGGTGAAGGGTGCCTGGAGAGAGATGGAGGTATAGAAAAGGGAGGATGGGAGAGGAGAGCGACGACAGTCAGTTTCTTATATCAACTCTAATATACCCAGCTTCAGCTCTAGAGTGAGAGCATTCTACAATCTGAGAGCTGAATCAATAAATCCTGCTCTCGAACCGGAAGAGCACACGCTGGAATAAAGAAATGAAGAGAGGGACGACAGTCAGACGCCTGAATCCACCCGTCTGAGTTATTGCAAAGGAATTTGAGCAACATGATTAAGTTGGTTTAATGAGGAACGTGACGTACAAGTGTGTGAATAATGTTAAACTGGTTTCACATCATGAAACCATTTACACCTGCAGGTTGAAAACATCCTCTCCTTTACACAGTTTTAACTTTCTTACTTTCTTTAACTTTTAAAAACTACTGCAGACGAATCCTTCTATGTTGCTTTGATCTGCTCGTTTTAATCTAAATTTACTTTCACAAAATAAGTTAAACTCTACTTTCAGGTATTTTTACTTGTTTTCATTTGTCTCCGCTGGTTTTAACGTCCTGGATCAGGACACTGAATCCTCCTCACTGACAAATAAAACTTACAAAGAGGAACTTTCAAAAAGTATTTTCAGTCCAGATGTAAAACAACGAACACGTCAAACTGCTTGAATTCATTTTTAAAGATCTACACATTTATCTAAAATGTGTTTTTTTGTATTGCTTTAATTTTTTACCCATTACTCATCGGTTTAAATAAATATTTTTAGCAGGGGACAACTGACAATATGCTGAACAATGATAGTACTAATAATACTAATGGTACTAATACTGATAATACACGTGTTTTAAGAATCAAACCTGTGAACATGTTGTTGACGTGGTTCTCACGGTGTCTCAGTGGTTCACAGACATTAACCCTGATCCGTCTCCTCTTATCTGCCATGTTGTCTCTGACGTGAGACACTGAGTCCACCGTGAGCTG